ATTTCACTGAAAGATCAGCCAACCAGAGAGAAATAAATCTGCAGTACGTTGTACCCACCCTATAATCTATTTGGAGGGCCACATAAAGAGGAACTTCCAGGGCCCTGTCCAATTGGAGGGCCAGCTAACGAGGAACTTCCAGGGCCCTGTCTAAATGGAGGGCCAGCTAACGAGGAACTTCCAGGGCCCTGTCTAAATGGAGGGCCAGCTAACGAGGAACTTCCAGGTCCCCTTCCATTTGGAGCGCCAGCTAACGAGGAACTTCCAGGGCCCTGTCCAAATGGAGATGGAGGGCCAGCTAACGAGGAACTTCCAGGGCCCTTTCCATTTGGAGCGCCAGCTAACGAGGAACTTCCAGGGCCCTGTCTAAATGGAGGGCCACCTAACGAGGAACTTCCAGGGCCCCGTCCAATTGGAGGCCCATCTAACGAGGAACTTCCAGGGCCCCGTCCAAATTGGAGGGGCAGTTAACGAGGAACTTCCAGGGCCCCGTCCAAATTGGAGGGCCAGCTAACGAGGAACTTCCAGTGCCCCGTCCAGTTGGAGGGCCACCTACAAGTGGCTAACATGCCGCTTCTGTACTATGATTATGTGATTACAGCATGGTTCATGTTACAGATTAACGAGACACTTCTGACTTCTGTGTGGGAATTAGAGTGTTTGCCAGTCTCATTCAAGTTAACATCAGACAATTCAGCGTGATGGGCGGGGCTGAGGATGGTGTGACGCATTTCCCGGAACAAAGGGAAGGCTACCTCCTGTTGGATCCAATGTGGGATTCGATGGAGGACCAGCAGGTGGGTACCTAAATAAGGATGTGCGTGCCAAAAGCCGTCGCCTGCTGTAGGGGACAGGGGAGCAGGCCAGAGCGTTCAACACAGTTTTGATTTTTAGAGTACTCAACAATGTGCATACTATTATATAACTATTTATAGCTCACCAAACATTGGCTATGGCAATGCGTGCACGTTGCTTGACAAAACTTGAACGCGAATAACCGCACCTCCCAATCTTTGCTACACCCCTTTACCCCCTGATACTTCCTTGCACACTTTTTATTTCACACCCATGAACTATATTAATTTTCTGACGTCCGAACCACTTTTAAACCGAGTATAGTTTATTACAACAAAATCAAATTGAGACGAGTTCATTTTCCCGAAATAGAAAATATTACGCACCAAACGCAGTTGCGTTATTAAACAAAAAAATCATTTAGCGTAGTTATCGGGAATTATAATTTGCGCGATATTGAAATCACTATTGAAGCACACCTTCTTCCAAACATAGAGAATCATATTTAATATAATTAGTTTATTAATTATTTTACAAACCAATGATTCATGTATCAAACGTCTCTTTATTAAATAACTCCATTACTAACACACCATTAATAACTACATTAATCACTGCTGCTCCTTCTAAAACATAAAACATTAACAATGTTAATGGGAATTCCCATTCCCAATGATACGTCAAAAAATACAGAGCATATCGCAAAAGCTACGAAAATAATCTCACTACCAAATACGCTGAATAATAAGAAGCCAGCTTGTTAGAAAGCAGCCTGCAGTGGAAACAGACACACCAGAAGAGATAATTATGCAAAAATCGTGTATGTTGAAATTTATTCCTCTTCGGTTTTTAAAAGTAAACCTTATTCAGTGGGACCAGTGGTCAACGGAATTTAAGGTTGAGAATAATTGATGTAGTAGACCAGTAAACACGATTCCTTACGAAGTATGTATATATTTTATGTATGAAGTTAAGCAAAGGAAGATAATAATAGAAAATCGTGTTTACTTGTATACGATATCGATGGTTCTCCCCCTTATGTAAATGTCATTTATTAGTTTAAATAATGGGAAATGCAGTTATCTTTCCCATTGTCAATCAAAATTTTTAAAAATTAAAATAGCAATAAATATTTTATATAAATATATGTTTAATTTTTGAAATTAAAAATAAAATTTACAAAATAAAAATGAAAAATGAGAAATTAAAAATAAGATTTTAAAAATAAAAATTAAAATCTCATTTTTTTGGGGGGGGGGGGAGGAGGGGGGGGTTTAAACTACTCATATTAAACAGAGTTACGCCAGTTATGCATAGAGACAGACTCTTTTTTTTCTCCAAAAAGGAAAAAAAATGTGGTCAGTATTGCATTGGTTGGCTGGGGCGGGGGGGGGGGG